GGGGGGGGGTGCAAGGAAACAAACGAAGATGAAAAGCAGATGAGAACTCCGTGTGTGGGAGGTGCGGATGTCTCTCTATATCTCCCCCCGGCCATTGCTGCTCTCCTTTTATTATTACTGCTATTGGTATATATGTGTGTGTGTGTGTGCGCCTGCTGTTTTTCGTCTTGTCTTTCGTTCTCCTTGTTTCACACACACACCCCGATGGGGCAACGTGCCTACTTTGGCGTCACATGTTTAATATAGTAGAGACCGTTTTTCATGTTGTCTGCGCTTGTACACAAACGTCTTTGAGAGGAACGAAGAAGAAGAAAAGATATTATGAGAGGAGGACGAGGAAGAGAGAATGAATATTGAAGGGAGAGGTGCTCTTCCCTCTTCCCTCGCTCTCTCTCTCTCTATATTTATACGCGGCCCAGCTACTCGGGTGGGCCGGGGACGAGAGAGGGAGAGAGAGAGNGGGGGGGGGGGGACACCAGCACTAACAGAAAAAGAAAAGGAAAAGAAATGTCACGAGACTGAGGAAAGGAAAAAAGAAAAACAAAATGAAACACATAAAAAGAAAGGGTCCCTTGCCCCTGTTGGCATTGGCGTTTTTTTTCTGTCTGTCTGTGGTTCTGCGTACCAGCTCCTGTGTGGCCGTCACCCGTCGGCGCAGACACATGCATATATGTGCCTGTTTGTCTGTGCATGCTGTGCCTACATGTTCTGTGTGCGTGTGTGGAGCCGGGATGTTGATATAGTCTGCTTGCTTTTTGTTTGTTTGTTCCCGTTCTCTGCGTGTCTGTGGGGGAATCCCTTTTCGTAGCGAATCGACAGTCAAGGTGCGAGGGCGCAATGAGTCTTCGCATGGTGCGCGACTTCATGCGGCTGCAGCGGTGGGAGCGGAACGTGCTGGCGCGGGATTCACAACGGGAAAGTGCCTTCACGCGCGCATTTCGGCGAGTGCCTTGGTCCGGCGTCGCGATGTTCTTCTTTGTCATGATTTTCTTCGGCGTGGACCTGGGCGCCGGCATCAAGCACACCGCCAAGCAGATTAGGGAGAAGAAGGATGAGGCAATGCAGTCTGTCGAGCTGCAGAAGGTGCAGGCACGGCAGTGGTCAGTGGAGCAAGTGAAGAACTTCCGCGAGGGCGAAGTGCCGAAGCCATCGTGGGCGGAGGGCGGGCCGCGTAGGGCGGCCACTGCCTCTTAGGGGATACATATATATTTATTTATATTCATATATATGTTTTTTGTATTTTTTTGGGGGATATTTTGTGTACAGTCGTGCTTTGTACATTCCTGCGGCCCGCCCTGAGCTCCACCCGCGCGGTGAGTCTCTTTTTTTTTTGTTTGTTGCAGCTGTGTTTGTTTCTTTCGTGCCTCCCCTGCGCCGGTGCACTGAAGGAAAAGGAGCCCGATGCTGTCTCGCGTGATACACGACCTGTACTACCTGAAGCGCATCCACAGCGTCGTGCTCGACGAGAAACTTGGCCACGCGCTCAAGGCAAAGCTGTGTGCGCTGGATCTCCGCGCCGGCCCCTCACCGGGCCCCGCCGCGCTTCGTCGGCTGCTGGAGTGCCTCGTGTATTTTCAGCTCGAGCAGAGCGCCGTCACCATGAATGCCGTCTCACTTGTGCGGGAGGAACTACCGAACATGTCAGGCGGCCAGCTCTCCCGCACCATCGCGGCGTGTTGCACACTCGGCCAAAACGACATCTCCTTGTCTGCTGTGCCGCTGCTGGCGGAGGCGCTTCCGAGCATGGATAGCACAGGGACCGTGTTGCTTATCCAGTCCATCGCCGATGCAGGCGTGCGGCACGAGGATACATGGGCACTCCTAGCAGAGCATTGCATTAGACGAATGGACACTTTCACGGGGCGACAGCTTTACCGTGTCATTGAATGCTTCTACGAGCGTCGGGTGAATTATCCTGACTTTTACGTCGTGGCGGAGCGCCACATCTGCGCGCAGCCGTCATCGTACATATCGATGGTACATCTGAGCGGTGTGATCGAGTGCTACAGAGGCCTTGGGCTGCCTGTTATGTCGCTTCTAGCCGCCAGCTCCGCACGCTCGGCAGAGGGATTTGACAGCGGACTTGCTGCAGTTGCACCCACAAGGACGCGAAGGCCGAACCGCGGTTGCGGCATGAATTCGGTAACATCAGAGACCATGACAGTGGCGGCATTGGAGAGCACGTCGAACCCTGCGGTATTTTCCACCTTTCTGCAGTCGACACTCAAAGCCATGAAGACAGCCGACGAGACGCAGCTGTCGGACATGCTGCATAAGTGCGAGGCGAAGCAGGTTATGCATGCCGAGATTATGGAGGCGGCGGCGGTACGGCTTCAGGAACTCCACAAGGAGTCNCCCAACGTTGCCCGTACAACAGCCATCATGCGCCTTATGATGCGGTTGGAGAAACGGGAGTGGTTCCTCAGCGCGTCCCGCCCACTCGCACAGCTGCTGGACGAGTGCGGCGAGAGCGGCATTGCTGTTCACGGCCACCGTATGCTCACTCTGGCTGACGGCGCAATGAAGTTGTTCCCACCGGACGTGCAGCCGACGCGTTTCTACGCCGCACTGGTCCATGACATCAAGTTCGATGACATAGCCGCCAGCATGGATGCCAGGCGTTTGCCGCTGCTTGCAGGTGTTATGATTTCTCTGCGCGCATACGGCGGCCCTGCGCTGCTCGAGCAGCACATGCCACTCATCTCCGTCGCCGCGGCGAACGCACCGCTTCGCGTGCAGGTGGAGCTTGCCGCGATGCTGGCACCACTGCCGGCCGCGCGTAAGACATTCCTGCCCGACCTCTTTGCATCACTGTCGTCCCAGAAAAACTGGGTGCGTGCCCTCACCGCGCGCGAGGCCCTTCTCCTCCTTGAGGGTCTGGCACGCAGTCGTTTGCCCTTCAATGATCTGCTGCTGGTAGTGGTGGAGTATACGAGGAAGAATCTCGGTCGCTTCGACGCCCCAGAGCTGGTTAATATTCTCATGCACTGCGCGGTGTTGGGCTTCAACGACATTGAGTTCTACTCTATTACAGCCACACATGTACTGGAGAAGTCATCGAATAGCACTGTACATGACCTATGCATGCTCATGTACGTTTTCACATTTGTACTCAAAGGAGTCATTCGTGTGGTGCAGCAGATGCTACCACGCCTGCGGGTGTCAGCGAGTCACGCAAGCCCGCGAGACATCACATTGGTGCTGTACAGCACTGTAAAGTTAGGCATCAGTCGTCACACTGAGGTTACAACGCCGTTCTGCGATCGCGCTGTCAACATACTCCCCACCTTCAAGGGTGAGGAGCTGGCCAGCTGCATGAGCTCTCTGCGCGTGCTTCGCCTGGAACACGAGGGCTTGCTCACCGCCGCGGCGCATGTGCTCGGGACGGAGTTGACACGCCCAAAGGGAGCGGAGACCACATCGGAGGACAGCAAGAACAACAACAACAACAACAACAGAAGCAGCGCCACTAAGAGAACTGGGGCTAATGATAATGATGATAATTCCATCACACTCACAGAAACACAGATCATTTCTATCGCAAGCGCCATAGTGCAGCTGCGGCGGCCCCTGCTACAGTCAGAGTGGCAGGCCCCACTGCAACGTATCTGCCTCGGCTACCTGGAGACAGCGGGGGGAAGCCAGACACACCTCATCGCTGTGACGTTGGCGGCCCTCGACGCAGCGCCGTGCACAGCAGAACAACGCGAACGCCTCCTCACGCACGCCAACGCTGTCTGTGAGAGTTTCAACAGTGGTGTTGTTGCAGCAGAGGTGCTGCTTGCGTTGCACGACCTTATTACGCGCGAGGGAACCGATGATGGTAGGGAGACGCTCGCTGCCTCACCGCTGCTCGCCTATGCGCAGGCGAACATGGCCAGCATCATGGCCGCCACAGAGGTGCGTGACAGGCTTCGTGGCAAAGGGCTACTTGGCCTCCTCGCAGGTGTCGGCGCCTCGTTCGCGGCTGACGAGGCTGACCGCGTCTCGCTGCGTGAGGTGCCGTTGCGTGAGTCGCTGCTGTTGCACCACAAGACCATGCGTCGGGCGAAGGCGCCTGGAGCGGGGCGGTTCAACAAGAGTCGTGCTCTGAAGCCTACTTCGGCCTCTACCACCACAAAGATGAAGATGATAAAGGGGAAGACCAAGTCGGGGAGTGGTACGCGCAGTCCCCGTACGACGTCTGGGAAGCGTGGTGTGGCTGCTCCTGCGTCAGCGGCGGCGGTGGCGGGGGAGGAGGAAGGAGTGGAGGATCCAGTGGCCACAACCACACGGGTGAAGAAAGCCCGCAGAGGGCTTGGTGTGGAGTCGCAAGGCGATGTGGCGGAGTTCCGCATTTAGGCAGTCGCGACTTCTTCCCCAATTTTTTGTAATGGCGTGGCAAAGACACAGTTAAAAGCTATTACCATCCGAGTTTTAATTGATCTGCTCAAGAACTCGCTCGTTGCTCCTTTTCTTTGATGCCCTCCCTCCCAAGGAACAAGACAAGTTTAGCTTAGATGCTGCTGCGGTTCGCCTTCCCATTTCTCTTGTCCCTCTGACGCCACCGCATCTCATCATTAAGGGTGCAGTAAGCTTTTCTCCATTGTGCCTCACCGGCCGTGGGGATGCGGGGCGATTGATCGCCATTGTGCCTGAGTCATGTGAGAGAGATCACTCATTATAGAAGACTTGTGTCCTTCCCCACTCCTCCTCGCCCTCCTCCTCCTCCTCTTCCCCCTCCCGCGACGAGGGGTGCCATGAGCTGCTTCACTGTTCTGTAGCGGTGCTGCGTTTTTTTTTTTCCTCACTTGGGTTGTCTGTTCTCATTTGCCGCTTTTAACGTTTCTTCCCCCATCATCTTTCCATCTCTCTCTCTTTGTGCTTGTAGCGTGGCGGTGCTAGGAAAGCAGAGGTGCGGTCGCCACCGATGCTCCTGCGGTTGGCGGTGTACGTCGATGACGCGCACTCCCCCATCGCACTCGAGGAGGCGGAAGTCAGTGTATACAACATGCCTGACCTTTTCTTGTACCTGGAGAATACGCTGCGGCGTCGCCCGCGGCTTATCTCGTACTGGAATGTGGAGCGTGAGCGCTACGAGCTCCTGACGTCGCTGCAGTGCTTAGTGCACCATCTCGGCGACGACGAGTCTCTGCGTGGGGGGGATGCTGGTGCTGTTGCTGTGCCTGCGCATCTGTGGGTGGAAACACGGCCGCCGCGATTAGACCCTGTCGACCCCGAGATTGACGCTGAAGAGTACGCGGAGCTCAAAGACCATGTGCAGCGTTGGGCGGGGAATAGATTTATCACATATTCACTCCTGAACGCCCTGCGCGTGACGGACCCATGTAAGGAGCGGCTGTTCGACCACGAGCGGTGCACACAAGTGAGCGGTGATCCTGAGCGCGTAGAGCTCCTCTACTACACGAACAACTCACTTAGCAGCAGCGAGGTGATGCAGAGGGGGTTTGACCTGGGTGGGGAAAACAGGCGTTTTTCCACACCACTGAAGAGTCCTCCGGGGGCATCAGGTGTGAGTACGGAGCATAAGCAGCAGCCCTTGTTCGTCTTTGCTTCCTCCATGGCCGATAAGAATGACAAGGAGATCTTCTCAACAGAGCCACACAAAGTTCTCCTCTGCGAGGTTGCGCTGGGCCGAGCATGGCCATGTGACATTCCACTCGCGAGGAATCCCAGTGCACCGCCGGAGGGCTACGACAGCGTGTGCTACCGTGAAGAGAGAGAAAATGGCTTTATGGTGAAGACTGTGCGCGTGGGGAAGAACCACCAGGCACTAGCGCGCTATGTGCTGACACTTGTTGGGAAGAAATCTGATCGGCGCAGAGAGGCGTTTCGTAGTGTCCGATTTGGTTCCACGCCTGACGCTAATGGCTCTATTACGTCTGCGCCACATGCATCTCGAAGGACGTCAAGTGCCAGTGGCAGGACGTCTGTACTTATGAAGGCACCAATGGCGCAGGAGCCCTTGCGTCGCTCGGGCTCCGCACCTATCGTCAGCGGCGGCACTGGGCGGCGAGAGCATTCCTTGCTGCTTCCGTCCGCCGTGACGTGTGTGGTGCACAACGGTTCACTGCTGGGGCTGTGGTGCTCGACGTGTGGCCACATGATATGCCCGTACTGCGCCTCTGTTGGTGAACACAGAAGGCACGAGGTGTCGGATGTGGAGGTTGTGGCGGATGAGGTGCGGCGGAAGGTGCAGGAGATGTGTCATGATCTCTCCATTCAGCTGGACAACTACCAGCGCGTCCAGTCTCAGCTCCAGGCGGAGCAGGTGCAGCTGCAGCAGAAGCGCAAGGAGGCGGTAAACGCGGTGGAAACGACAATTTCAGATCTCCACACTCTTCTCGACGCCAAAAAGGAGGAGTGGCTGGCTCGAATTCAGCAGCAGACGCACTGCCTGGACGATCCTTTAGTGGAAGTTAACCGTGTCGTGCAGGAATACGAGAACGTCATCGCACCGCTTGAGGGCTCGTGGGATGAGGCTTCTAGGCGGTTGACGTCACTCACGGAGGTCACGGGGCATGCGCCTACGACTGCTGCCAGCGTGGCGTATTTGATGGAAGCACCGAAACTTCTGGAGGAGGGGCACCGCTTCGTTGCGCAGCGCCACGATGCTGCCCTGGATCTTGCAATCAACGCAGCAAAACAACTTCGCGCGAGCGAGGCAACACTTTTCCACATTGACTCCAGTGCCGTGCGGCAGAGTATTGAAGGACTTATCCCTACAAACGGCGTCCGTGCTGCCAACGCCTCAGCAATGATGGCGATTACAGGTCGCAGTGGTCGATATACTCGCCTCTCTACCTCTGTGGGTAGATCAGCCACCGGAAAACTCAATCGACGCCAGGCGTTGACGCCTGCGCTAGTATCTTCACCATCGCTGTTGCTGGAATCGGGCGGAAAGATAGATGAATGGTCGTGTGATGATTACTCTGATACCGCACTAGACCCAGCAAGCCGACGGTTGCTGCTACAGCGACTCTCCGACTTGCGTAAAGGGTATCTGTGGTGTGTGCATGACGCGAACAAATACTTTCATCCCGGCCAGCGCCAAGCTGTCTGTTCCAGGGCGTTCAAATTGCTGGGCGTGCAATGGGAGCTGCGAATTCAGGCCAGAGATGCTACATCGGGTAGCAGCACACCCCCAAAGCAGATGACAAGAAATGATGTGGATGAGGCTGTTGGAATTTTTCTTTTCCCTGTTGGCCACACGTTGCGGGTGGATTTTCGCATCTGCATCTTCTCTGCCGTGGCGTGGGCAGAGTGGAAGGTGTCAGGGTGGGCGGCGTCGTTCGTGGGCAAAGGGTGGGGCGTGTACCCGCTGCTGCCGCGTCGGGAGCTGATGCAGACGGACCGTCTTGCGTGGGAGAACACCCTGAAGATATGCATCGCGCCCACCAGTGGCGTCTACTAGAGAAGGTGGTATGGGGGTGCCGGTGAAGAAGAAGAAGGGGCAGTAGAGGGAGGGCGGCGCCGTTTTCGTGCCTAGATGCTGCGAAGAAAAAGGGCAACACGACACTTACGAGGAGAGGATCTGAGTGTTGAGGGCTGCTGCTGCTGCTGATCTACCTCCCATCTTCCTTTGATGAATTCTTTAAAAAAAAATTCTACTCTTCCCTTTCCGTGTGTGAAATTGCCCTTCTGTAGCCCATGTACCGTAAACTGTACATTTTGTCGTAATTCTGCCGTACTTGGTTATTGGACCAGAGCGGCCATTAAAAGAAACGCTGTTTTGTATTTGGTCTCGAATGGCTCCTGGTATTCCTAAATCCTATGCAGCTGTCGCGATACCGTTATCCCCCCCCCCTTTTATTTCCTCTCTGTTGGTTTCTACTGTGCCCAGTGTGTGCAGGACTGCGTGAGAGTATTATGTGGCGGTGTGTGAATCCGCCCCGCCTGCTGCTGCGGCGAAAACAAGGCGTCCGGGGGCTTGCGTGGGCCTGGCAGGCGCCAGCAGTGCGACGCCGCGCTCCGCCGCGCTGGTGTACCTGCAGTGCCCCGATCTTCGTGCGCCTCGCAGCGAACGCGTACCGCTGCGATGTCTGCGGGGGTGCGCAGCAGCTTCAGGGGGGCGGCAATGACGGCGAGGGGAAGAATGTGTGCAGGCCGTCGCTCACCACTACCGCACCTGCGCCGCACGGGCATGTAACCGTCATGCTGGATCTGAAGCCCACGGAGGCGGCGCGCCGCGTTGGTGAAGAGGTTAGGGCACAAGTTGCGGCTGCACACACCGACCACAGCGCTCTCGCTGCGAGACTTGCCGTTGCGCGGTCTTCAAGCCGGTGCGGCCTCGATCTGTACGCGGGGTGGTGCGCGCAGGCGAGCGCGCCGACCGCATTTGGGAAACGGAGAGGAGATATTGAGAGTGAGAAAACGGTGGTGACCGTCGATGCATTACACGACGCGATGTACGCGCTACGCTTCGCTACAGCCACGTACGCACTGCCGTACGAGCTGGGCTACTTTGACAGCATCTGGCGTAACATGCAGCTACGACTGCCGCGCCACCAGCGCTACGTGGCGGCAGCCGTGGCAGAGCAGGCTGCTGCGATGCAACGCATTCTTCTCGGTGCGAGGCATGACCCGCTTCTAGAGGTGGCGCATGCCCGCTGCTCTGTGTGCCTCGGCCAGGCGTCCTTTGCGATCTTTCTTGACCACCGCCGGCAGCGTGTTGTTGTGGCGTTCAGGGGCACACTCACCGCCGCTGACGCCATCGCTGACTTGGCCAGCGGTTACGCACGTGTGCGCCTGGGGGCTGCTGTACCTTCGTTGCCTTCTTCGGCGCCGGCAATGGAGTTGTACACGCATGTGCCGCGTGGATTCTACACCAACGTAATGGAGGTGGGTCCGCAAGTCATGGAAGCGCTCACGAGTATTCGGCAGCAGTGGCCTGACTACGAAGTGATGTGTGTTGGCCACTCCCTCGGCGCCGTTGAAGCTATTCTCTTTCACCTGCTCTTTTGCCTCGGTACAGAGCGGGGTGCGGCGATGCGTACAATCGCCATTGCGCCGGCCCCGTGTATCGATAGTGCGGCAGCGGTGGAGGTCAACGGGCTTCTGGGCGACGGGGCGATGACGTCGTGGGTGTACGGCCTTGATGCAGTGCCGCGGCTGCAAGTAAGCTCTATTCTTGACCTCTTCTATCCACCGGCAAGACCTAGTACCATGGGTAGTAGCGGCAGCGCGTCAGTGCAGCAGCAGCAGCAGCAGCCAGGGGAGGGGCTGCCGCTTTTGTCTATTCCTGGGCGGCTGCTTCACGTTCCAGCAGACGGCACAGATGTGTTAGATGTCCCTGTTGACGCGCCGTGGTGGCGCTGCCTGTTCGTCGGGAAGGATGCGGTGCTGCACCATTTCCCGGCGGCGTACGCTGCGGCCTTTCACAACGTGCTGTTGCAGCGAGCAAAGCAAAGAAAAAAATGCGTCAACGAAGAAAAGAAGGAAACTTGCAGGAAGGACGTTTAAATGAAGGGGATTAAGAATCCTCTCATAATCATCATCATCATCTACATGATCTTTTTTTATTTTTGTTTTTTACTTTATGGGATTTGCTTTTGTTCTTCGTTTTTTTTTTTTCGTTCGCCCCTCCTTCGTTTTGCTTTCGCTGCTCACTGTCTTTCTCCACTCCCTCTCTCTCTCTATGGGGGAGTGGCGTCTGTGAGGGCGTGTGAGCTGCGTCTGTCTGAAACGATACAAAACAACAACAACAAAAAAATATATCTGAACTTCGCCACGCAATGATGGCGTGTGGGGCCTTCTGACTTTGGCCCCTCCCCCCTGCTGTTCCCCCTCTCCGTGACGCACTGCCATGCAACTCCGTGGTGTGGCTAACCCCTCAGCTTGCCTCTCCTCTTGTGCCCTTCATTCCCGCTCAGCATGCATGTCGCGCGAATTCACACCGCCAGAAGGCTCGCTGGGGGGATTGAGTGCTATATCCCGCGGCCGGGGCAACATTCTCAGCTCCATGCGTGACGTTCACAAGGACCGTGGGACGAAAGCATGGTTCCAAGAGTTGGCGTGGGAGGCGGAGGAAGAGGGGGATGCCGCATTTTCCCGCCTGCGGGCCCCCTTGTTCGAGAAGTCTGCACGTCCACACTTCTTTTCTGCAGATGAGCGCCGTCGGATGGACAATTACGAGAGTATCGACTACAGTGAGGCGCAGTCCTTGGTGTACAAGGCTCGAATGTCACAGCGGAGGAACGATCGCCGTTGGATTAAGTGGATTATGTTCATCTCCATTGGCGTTTGCGTCGGACTGTGGTCGGTGTTGCTGTTCCAAACACTGGACTTCCTGACACATCAAAAACTTAGGGTCACACAGCGTTTTATTGACGCCCATGCGCTTAATAAGACAAATGATGGGGAGACGAATCAGCTTCCGTGGACCACACCCAGTGGGGTGAGTTGGCGAGCAGCAGGGGAGGGCTACATAATTTATATTGTGTGGAGCACACTTGCCGCGTTGCTCTCCTCGCTGTGCTGCGTTGTAATGCCTAGCGCGGCTGGGAGTGGTGTCCCAGATGTGATGGCGTACTTGAACGGCATCATGTTCCCACGAATATTCAACATTCGTAACTTGATTGTCAAGACGCTGTCGTGCATATTGGCCGTCACTTCTGGTCTGCCTGTAGGTGCCGAGGGTCCAATTATCCACATTGGCTCTCTCATTGGCGCGGGGTTGCCGACCGGTCGAAGTCGCACTCTGCGCTGCAGTGCAAGCTCGCTTCTTTCCACGTTTCGAAACCCAAGAGACATGCGGGACTTTATATCTGCCGGTGCTGCGTGTGGAATGACCTCGGCTTTCTCTGCCCCTATCGGTGGCATGTTATTTGTCATGGAGGAGATGGCCGCGTTTTTCCCTGTAAAACTTGCCTGTTTGGTTTTTGTGTCGTGTTTGTCGTGCATGTGCGTGATCCAAATCCTTAACACATACTTGAGTGGATGGCAGGTGCCTGCTCGGATTCCCGTATCTTCTGGTGATTTTCGTCCCTCCGCGATCGCCATGTTTATCGTGGATACCGTTCCGGGAAATCGCTTGCCGATGAATTTGCTTACATTTGTTCCAACGATTATCGGTGCGATTGCTCTCGGACTGCTGGCTGTGTCGTACACCCTGTCAAGCGTCAGGTTCACGCGGTGGCGCTCGAAACGGCTGTTTCCAAGCACGCCGCTGCGTGTACTGGAGCCCTGCGCATTCACCTTCCTCTACACCACCATATGTTACATGCTTCCATTGGCCTTTGGCTGTGTGGAGGTGCCGGCGTACGTGAAGGAGCACAAGGAGGAGCTCGACATTGATCTCTTTACTGCATTTTGTGCGGATCGCGAGAATACGTTTAGTCCACTCGCGACACTTGCCTTGACAAGCCCTTACAACGGCATTCGTCTCTTCTTTACTCGGCATACAGCGGCGCTGACGCCGTGGTACGCCTGTCTGCTGCACCTTTTGTTGTACGGCATCGGCTCCAGCTACGCGGGTGGGATGTTCATCTCGTGCGGGACCGTCATTCCATCGCTGTTTATTGGTGCCACTGGCGGCAGACTCATTGGTGTCCTGTTCGGAAATAACGTGTGGGCTGACCCTGGTGTCATTGCTTTGATAGGATCTGCGTCGTACTTCTCCGGTATCTCGCGGCTCTCCTTCTCCCTCATTGTCATTATGATGGAGCTGACATCCGACCTCACGCACATCACATGCCTCATGGTTGGTGTCATCGTAGCGAGAGCCTTGGCGGACCGCTGCTGTCATTCTTTATACCACTCACTCTTAGAGGTGAAGGCGGCGCCCTTCCTTGAGGTTCAGGCAAGTGTGCACAAGCTTGACATGTTCTGTGCAAAGGACATCATGACGTCCCCTGCTGTAACGTTGGAGACTTTGGAGAAGGTGGCACGAGTAGTGGAGGTGCTTCAGACCACACCACACAACAGCTTCCCTGTGGTGTCGGCTTCAAAAGGGACGTACGATGGCGTTATTTCACGTTCCCAACTGGAACTGCTGTTGTGGTTTATGTACTTCCGGGACGTGGAGCGGATGAGCAGTACAGAGTCTGAGCGCTCGTGCAACAATTCCGTTGCAGCGGATAGCGGGGTCGGTGTAGAAGATCGGTATGAAGGGTCAATGATCAATAATAACACCGATATCGGCGACAGTAATACTAACAGCAATGGCAATGATGGCGGTGGTGGAGGTGTGTCTGCTGCTCCTGGTGCTATTCCTGCCGACAGCGGCACGGCCGCACGGCGGCTGGCACAACAGCCGCACGCCACATACACGGACTTGAAAGAAGTGAGCGAGCAGATATTCTGGCGGCGGCTGCCGTCGTTGCCGCCGCTTGAGTCCATGCCTGCTGCGACGGCGCACTGCTATGTGGACCTCACGCCGTACGTGGA